AGGCCGCGGCGACCGGCCGTGCCCGCGGTGGTGTTGCGGTCCACGCGTCCTGTAGGCACCGCGGTAGGGGGACTGTGGCTGTGGCTGCGGTGGTGGCGGGGGGCGGCGAGGAGGGGAGACAACAGCAGGGGCAGGTGGTGCAGAGGGAGAGGGACCGCTTCGCTCGTGGCAGATGTGTGAAATGATGGCAGCGCTGTCGCTCAGCGGCACGCGCTGGCGAACTGCGCCAAGGCGCAATCATGGTGATGATGGTGGTGGTGGTGGTGGTGGTGATGATGGTGGTGGTGGTGGTGGTGGTGGTGGTGGGTGGGTGGGTGGATTGTGAGCGTCGAGCGCAAAATCAAACAGGCACACATTCATATTCACATTCACATTCACATTCACATTCACATTCACATGTCCACATGTGTGATTCACCTTCGCGCTGGCCCTGGAGAACGTGGATGTCGAGGGTTTGGCCAGCGGGGCTCGGGGCAAAGAGCACGGCAGCAACAACGGCGCCATCAGCACGGCACTCGCGCAACACGTCGCTCAGGTGCTCGCTGGGCCGCAGTGCCGTTGTCTCCGTCTGAACATTCGCAGACACCGCGCAGGTGCGAATGAAGCCACAAGGGAAGAAGGGCGGTTGTGAGGTAAAACGCGAGCGTGAGTGAATGTGCGTTGTGCAGGTGCACGTGCTGATGCGTGTGTGTGATCGTGCGTGCGTTTGCAGAAGTGTGCGCGTGTGGCGTGCATGCAACATGTGCATGCGTGAGATGGTATTGTGCGTTGTGCGCATTACTCTTGGATGTGCAAGCACATGGTATTATGCGTGTGCGTGCGTGCGTGCGTGTGTGTGTGTGTGTGTGTGTGTGTGGTGGTGTGTGTGTGTGTGGGGGTGTGTGTGTGTGTGTGTGTGTGTGGGTGTGGGTGTGTGTGTGTGGGTGGGTGGGTGTGTGGGTGTGTCTACACGTACGTGGACGTTGCGACGCATCAAATCGTCACGCAACTCAACAGCGGTGCGCCTGCAAGAGGAGACACAAAAGCAAGGATGAGAAGGGTCGGGCTTTGGCAGGAACAACAGCACGTAACAGTGTATGACAGGCGTGAAGAGGATGCTTGCGTGTGTGAATATGTACATGTGTGCCTGTGCCACGATGGCTGTACTACCATACTTGAGCGCGGGTTTGGTGGTGTGGATGACGAGCACGCAGTCTGGCGCACCGCTGCGCTTCGCAACCTTCGGCGGCGGCTGATCAGACTGCTTCGCACGCATATGTGTGCATGTGAGGTGTGTGCGAGTGAGTGAGTGAGTGTGTGTGTGTGTGTGTGTGTGTGTGTGTGTGTGTGAGTGAGTGCGTGAGTGAGTGCGTGCTGGACAAGGAGTCGAGTGGGAACAAATGAAACGTGTGTAGGACCAAGGAAACCCAGGGCCACCGTCAAGCACACACACACACACACACAAAAAAAAAAAAAAAAAAAAAAAAAAAAAAACACAGCAGCACGTACGCGAATTGGGGATGGTGAGTGGCGGCGGGCACGTGGACGCATCGCTGCTGGCGGTGCGGGTCGGGGCGGTGATGGCGGCGGCGAAGGCGCACGGCGCACACCATCAGCCGTATCATATGTCGGGAACTTGTTGGTCGCAAGGTTTAAATCTACGCATGTGCATCAATTGGCATGCATATGTTGTTGGTTGAGTGTTAGGGTTTAGGACACGTACCTGAGGACAAAACAAAGAGCGCGTTGCAGAAGCTGCAGCACCTCCGCGCGTGCGTGCAAGTAAGAGAGCTTGCACAACACACACAAGCACACGCGCGCGCAAACACACACACACACACACACTTTCACACCCATGCATACACACACACAAACACACACTTTCACATCCATAACACACCCCAACACACACAAACACACGCACCGATGGGAATGCCGAGGATGCGGCGGCCCTTCTCGTGGTCAATGGCGGCGCGGGCGCTGCGGGGATTGTCAAACTGTACAAACCCATATGTGTGGTTCAGGCGGATCTCAAGAATACGCCCGTACTTGGAAAACACCTGCTCCAGATCAGCCTTCGTCACCTGGTTGCGTTTCAGCCGCGCGACAAAGATGCGTGAGTTTGGCGGTATCTCCCGCTCCCGCCCCGCCGACACGGCTCCCGCGGCTGATGGTGCCGCTGGCAGTGGTGGCGGTGGTGGCGACGGTGCGCCACGACGATGGGGTGCGTGGTGCATTGGTGGACTACGTGACCGCCTGCGTCCACGTGCACGTGCGTGTGACGGTGGTGGTGGCGCTGGCCGCGGCGACGCGGACCGACGGGGCCTTGACCCGTAGCGTGCACCCCCACGGACATCGCGTGCACCACTGCGTGCCCGTGGAGGCGGCAGTGTGCGGCGGGGACGGGGGCTCTGCTGTCGTCCCCTCTGCCTCAGCTGTGGGGACGGCGACGGCGATCTGCGGAGTTGTCCGCCCGCACCTGGCCGTGGCGGGCCTCGTCTCTGTGGCGACCGCGGCGGCAGCGGAGGTGACGCCGATGATGATGGTGCCGGCAGCGGGGGTGCCCTGCGCATGTGCGGCTGTGGGTGGGGCGGGCCACGTGATGGGTGGGCATGAGGCGGGCGGTGGTGCTGCGAGAAAGGCGGGCGCTGGAATGGAGGTGGTGGCGCCTGCCCAGGCGGCAACGGTGGTGCGTGCTGATGAAGGTGATGGTGGGGTGGTGGTGGGCCGCGAAACGGCTGCGCCGGGGAGAGTGTTGGCGGTGCAAACCGTGTACTACCTTGGTGCAGTTGATGAAAGGGGGCAGCGCCCTGGGCGCCTGCAAATGGGGCCCGCTGCGGCAGTGGTGCGCGCATTGGCGGCTGGGCGCCAAGAAGCGGTGGCTGCTGCAGCTGCTTCTGATACTGCGTTGCTTGCTCCTGTTGTGGCGGCGGCGGCGGCGGCTGCTGCTGCGGCTGCTGCTGTTGTCCTTCGTAGGCGGCTTCACGACGCGCCTCCTCCGTAACGCCGGGTGTGGGCTGCGTCCCCGCGACCGTTGCGTCTGGTTCCGCTGGCGCATGTTGCCCTTGTGGTGGGGAGGAGGACGTCGGCGCTTCAGAAGGTCCTTGCTGTTGTGAGTGTGGTGGCTGCCCAAGTGTGTCGGTAGCCCCTGTACTCGCAATGGCAGGATCGCTGGTCGAGGGGCCATTCGAGGGGTCGTCGCTCTTGCTTGAGGATGCGGGCGCCAGCGGCGGCGCTTCCGGAGCTTCCGCGGTTGTCACCACCGTGGCTTCCACGGCAGGTTCCACAACAGGTTCCACAACAGGTTCGAAGGGCACTTGTTGGCCTATCCCTGCTTGCTCTTGTTCTTGTTGCACCGTGGTGGTGTTGGCGCCTTGCTCGGCGCTGTGGGTTCCTGTCGCCCCTTCATCCGCATTCGTCTCCTCCTCCTCGTTTCCTTCCTTTTGTTGCTGGCGCTCCTGCTGCTCCTGCTGTTGTTGCTGCTGCTGCTGCACAGCAGCGAAGCGTTGTGCGAACGCAGCAAGCTTGTCGCTGCTGCTGGTGTTCTCAGCCATGCTGTCTGTCGTTTGCTTGTGTGCTGGTTGCGGAAAAATGGCACAAGACTTGTTCAATTATCGGTTGGGCTGTGCGCTGGAGATGCTGTGCTTGAAAGCAGTGCAGTCGAGAAGTGTGAATCAGCGTGTTGAGAACTTCTGAACTCCTTGAACTCACCCACTCACGTCACTTGACAAATTCATGGTCGGTCCCCTAGTCCCCTGTGACTCTGTGTGTGCATGTGTGTGTGCGTGTATGTCTGTTGGTTGCTGCCTCGTTGTCTTTGAATTGTGCTCGTATAGTCAGATGTATTGTCGCAATCACAGTCAGATAGCAGATAGTCACTGAAGAAGCAGCCACAAGAAGACAAGAAGACAAGAAGCCACTAAGCGGCAACATGTCTACATATCATGTCCAGGAGCGCAACACACGCACACATGCACAAGCCATCGCCGTCATCATCACCACCACACTCTCCCCGCACCACACACACACACACAACACAAACACGTCCAAAGTACAAGCTGCATGGCACGCAACCGCAACCCACGCGTCAAGCTCAAAAGTACACATAAGCAACGTGCTGCATAATCTCGTGCAGCAGCTTTGCCGTGTCCTTGTCGTCGTCGTTGTCCAAGAGCTCAGCCCGCTTGTCTGCCAGCCACTGCAGGAGGATCGCCTTGCTCTCAAGCAGCCGGAGCATGGCAGATCGGACGGTACCAGGCGAGAACACGTACGAGAACAGCAGCGACTCCCAGTCCAGAACAACTTCCGTGGTTATGGTTCGTGCGTTGCCATGCAGCACACGCCGAGGGCGCTCCCGCAGCGCTGTGTAAAAGGATCCGGGAAGCTGCTCATCAGGTTCGCAGAGGAAACCAAAGTCCACGATGCGGCCGTTGGGCAGGATGTTGTGAGAGCGGATGTCCATGTGACACAGATTGTTCTTCGACAACACAAGGAGGTATTCAGCAGCAGCTGTAAGCGCCTCCTTGCCCTTGATGCCCGTGCCTTTTTTGGTCGGCGCTAGGTGGGGAAAGGCAAGGACGGGGCGCGACCGCTTGTGCACTTCCACCGTTTCGTCTGGATAGAGCAGTTGCCAGGCCTGCAGCTCGCTGTCCACCTCATCATCAGCATCAATGCAGTGGCCGCCACACACCTTCAGCATCTTGCCGTTTACCAGTGCAACCGCGGCCGTGTCTTTACCGCCTTTGTAGACGCACATCTCGTATCTCGTGGCGATTTTGGCTGACCTGGCCCTTGCCCCTTTGGTGACTGCATGCTGACGCTGCTCAGCCTTGCTGCTGCCTGCTGTGTCAGTCTTGGTGTCTGCCTTGGTGCTTGGTGTTCTTGTTGGGGCTGTTCTGGTGGCGGAACGAGATGTTGTTGTGGATGGTGTTGTGGATGGTGTTGTGGATGGTGTTGTGGCTTTGCCTGTCTTGGGTTGCTGACGCCGTCGCCGTGCGGTTGCGGCTGTGGTCGGGCGGGTCTCCTTCAGCGCGCGGCTACGCCCGGTACCCGGTCTTGCTGGCGTGCTCCTCGAGACGGCGCGACTTGCGGCTTGGCGTGTCTTCGCTTGCTGGCGCTGCCGCTGCTGCTTTGCGGTTGCTGGTGCGGAGTGGTCAGTATTCTTCACGACTTTCTTCACGACCGCGCCAGCAGGCCCGCCGCTGCGTGTTTGTGACACTCTGGAGGCGCCGCGAGTTACCGGTCTGCGTGCCTTTGCCTGCTGGCCCCGGCCCTGATGCGGTGTGGGTTTGGCCTTGGCTTCGGCCTTGGCTGTCTTTGTGCTGCACTGCGTGTCGACAGCCTGCTGTGGTGGCGTGGATTCTGCCTGGGCTGCTTCTTCCTTGTTGCTGGTGCTGGTGGTGTGGGTGGTTGTCGAGGAAGGCGTGTCCGAGAAGCCAGCAGTTGTGGCTGTCGTCTCAGGCGCAAGTGCTGGGGCTGAGGGGGCAGGGCCTCTCGTCCCTGTGTGTGTGTGTGTCATGTGTGTGTGTGTGTGTGTCATGTGTGTGTGTGTGCGTGTGTGCGTGTGTGTGGCATCGTTGGTTGTTGAACACAAGAAAGAAGGTGTACGAGGACACCACGAGGTATGTGATGATGACGGAATACCAAGATAGCAGCGAGCAAGAGGGTAAGTGGGCGAGAAGGCAAGGGCAAGAGGGCACAATATCACGAATGCACCGGCTACCTGGGCAATGGCGGAAACATTCTCGTAATGCGCCATGTGCTCTTCGTCGAGCAGCCACTCAATGACATACCCAAGCCTGCTCAGCTGAATCCCGCGACCAAGGCAGCTATGTGAGCGCAGCGTCCAACGACAATTAGCAGCATACAAGGCAACAGCCAGTCGACAGCAACAGCTCAACAGCACGTGCAAGACCTTGCGAAACACACACTTACAAACACACACATGCGCACTTACAAACACACACACGCACACACTTACAAACACACACATGCACATACAAACACACAATGCAAACACCCTCGAAAACGCGATGGCAACTCACGTCGATGTCGCCAAGTTTTGTGTAAAGGACACTGGGAAAGGCCTCGCCACCGTGCATCTCCTCGCCCAGCGTGCACGCGTACACGGACACTTTATACATGCAGACAGTGATGGCAAAGGGGAACAAATACCCCTTCAAGTCACGCCACTCCGGGCCTGCGGACTTGATGGCCTTTGCTGCGTACTCCAGCACCTGCGCCTTGGCAGCATCCTGTGCCCGCCGGCTGTCACGGGTCTTGAGATCAATCAACAGTGGGTTGCAGTCAAGGTTCGAGGCCAGACGCACAGCATAGTGAACGACAACAGCGGGGTCGGCCTCAAACGACGCGTGGCTCTTGACGTACACTGCTGCATCACCACACGCCCTGACGAGGGGCGCTTGCATGCGGTCGTTGAAGAGCGTCTCGGGCGTGCAAAAGGCATCAGCAAAGTCTGCAGTGCAGTCAGCGTGCATGTGTGTGCGTGTGTGCGCATGTGCATGTGTGTGTGTGTGTATGATTGAGGGATACTCTCCTTCAGAAGCAGCTCATGCATGCGCAAGCAAACACATGCATGTACATGCACATGCGACACAAGCACGCGCATGCATGCAAACGAGTGCTGAAGACTCACTCCCTTTACGCCAGCACCAACACACATGTAACATGCACACACTCGACAGTGGCCTTACGCAGGGGTTTGTCCTTGTGTTTGACCACTTGGAACCACTCATTGTGCAGGTGCCAATCAGGGCAGAGAAGCTCGGCCGAGAACGGCTGCGCATAAACTGTTTTGTGGGCCACGTCCACGTCCTTTTCCTTCTCCTTGGCGGCATTGCGGGGGTCTACACTCGACTGTAAATCTGTATGAACCACACGAAGCAGCCAAAATGAGTTCCAGCAATGCGTCGGCAGCGTGTTGGCCAGACTGAAACGTCGCTGTTGCACGTTCTCTTCCACACCGACGTTACACAACAAGGACAAGGTCACCGCAGCTTGTCGAAACTGTCCCAACTCGTTGCACTCGGCCGGTCCTTTGCGTGCGACTTCATCAAGACGACGAAGGAAGGTTTCCGCCTCGTCGAAGGTCACCTGTGTCTCGTCCGTCTTCTTCGTGTCCACCACTCTGCGGATTTCCTGCAGCATGGTCTTGATGTCTTCCGTGAAGGACAACTCCATCATGTTGTCGAGGTATGTCCTTGTGGCAGGTTTCTGGGGGGCACGCCACACTGGAAGGACTTCAATCCCATTCTTGGTGGCAATTGTTCGGATCTTCTTGGCGAAGGCATGGTATTGTGAATCGTCGTCTTCCTGGGTGCCCTTCAGAAGGCTCGTGTACTCTGCTGTGGCTGCTTGCAAATACGCGCGCGCAAGAACGCCAACCTGAACAAAAGGAGGGGGAAGAAGTGGGTTGAACAAGATATGCAGCAGGTGTCTACAAGTGAGAAGGAGAGATGACTGTGGTGCGCATGTTGGCGGCATTTGTGGGCAATAATGCCACTTTCCAAGAAGACACACACACAGCCAAAGACAGACAGACAGACACAGCCACAGCCACAGACAGACACAGACACACGCACACACACACACACAACAATATCACCCACCTCGTTTGCCGACAAGGTTGTGTAGACTACTGGGACATCTTGAGGCGCTTCCGTGCTGTCCTCGGACGAGTCGCCCTTGTTGTGGGTAGATGTGTGTGTGAGGTTGAGTGGGTGGGCAAGTGGCGTCACATCTTCACATTTTTATGACAGCGAAAGCGCGTGAGTTTGTCGAGCAGCACGCACTGACGCACGCGACACGCTGCACAGGTTCTCCCCCTCCCCCCTCAATCGCCTTTCCACTTCACTTTCCAAGCTCATGCGTTCAGTGGTGCAAGAAGAAGAGAAGAAGGTTTGACTAGGTCTCTCTCACCTGGTAGAAGTCCCACGCCGACATCGTGCTCTTCTTCTTAGCTTCTCGTCTGCTGCCTGTTTGAAAGCTTGAAAGTTACCGGGAATAAATGACGAATGCGAAAACTGGAGATGACGTGGACAACATTCTTCCATGTCGTTGAATGTCAACAAAAAAGGCTGGTGGGACAGTACAAGAGTACAGGAGGACCACAGCAGGGGGCGCTGATGATCTCCTAGTCTCCTTGTCTCGTCGCTTCGTCGTGTGTTCGTGTGTCACCATGAGGCTAAAGTCGAGCTGCAGAGGAAGTGTTTGACTCTTTGACTGCTTCAAGGCTAGAAGGCTGGTTAGTGGTGATGGGCAGACAGAGAGAGTTACAGAGAGATGTTTGTTTTTTGGGGGGGGGGGGGGGGGGGGGTTAGAAGCGCAACAACAAAAAAAAATGTACAATAAAAAAAGAGGGTGTATGCGTGTGTGCGCGTGTGTGTGTGTGTGTGTGTGAGAGAGTGTGTGTGTGTGTGCGTGTGTGTGTGTATGTGTGTGTGTGTGTGTGTGTGTGTGTGTGTGTGTGTGTGTGTGTGTGTGTGTGTGTGTGTGTGTGTGTGTGTGTGTGTGTGTGTGTGTGTGTGTGTGTGTGTGTGTGTGTGACCCAACGAAAGGAAGAGGGTGACGAAGAGGACACCGAAACCCTGCGCAAGTGGAAAACACACGGATCAGCTCAGTCCTCGAGTTCGCCAGGCCACTCCTCTCCTCGCTCGCTCTGTCGGCCGCACAGAAAGACAGACCACTGCGTTCAATGACACAGACAACCACAGACAAAACCACACAAACCCTTGAAATAGAGAGAGAGAGAGAGAGAGAGAGAGAGAGAGAGAGAGAGAGAGAGAGAGATATGCTGGCACAGAGGCTGTGGGACGCAGAGTGCCTGTCTTGCTTGTGCGTGTGGTCTTGAGCCAAAAAAAGAAAGCATCTCCCCTGCGGGGAATCGAACCCCGATCTTTGAGGTGAAAGCTCAATATCCACTGCACCAGCACTGCGTGAGGTTGTGAGTGGAAGCGAGTGTAGACTGCGAGCGAGCGAGAGCACGACTGGCAGCTCGTTCGCAGAGGAACGCAGAGTGCTTGTGCGTGTGGTCTTGAGCCAAAAAAAAGAGAAGACCTCCCCTGCGGGGAATCGAACCCCGGTCTTTGAGGTGAAAGCTCAATATCCACTGCACCAGCACTGCGTGAGGTTGTGAGTGGAAGCGAGTGTAGACTGCGAGCGAGCGAGAGCACGACTGGCAGCTCGTTCGCAGAGGAACGCAGAGTGCTTGTGCGTGTGGTCTTGAGCCAAAAAAAAGAGAAGACCTCCCCTGCGGGGAATCGAACCCCGGTCTTTGAGGTGAAAGCTCAATATCCTAAGACCACTGGACTACAGGGGACCCATGAAAAATTGCGCCGATTTTGGCTATACAAATAACTTGAGCACATCAATGATGAGCTTCTTGGGTTTGTTGCTTGCCTTGCCTTGCTTGCTTGCAGGCAGTTTTTTGGCTGTTTGTTGTGGCAGCTTCGAGAGGTGGGTGGGGATTCAAACGAGCCAAGCAAAGGAAGCAAAAAGGAAGGTAAGGAAGAGCAGCCCCACACACGGACGTCCGCCCCTTTCGTTGTCATCATCCATCCACAACGCTTTGTGACAAGGTACGCTAACGCGGCACGCGCTGCACTGCGTTACCCTTGCCCGCCGCGTCATCGGTCATCGCATGGTCGCCTGGGTAAGGTTGTGAGCACAACAACGGAGCTTACATTTTGTTTTTTTGTGGTGATGTGAAACGTTGTTGTCGCATGTCACGCCCGACATGATCTTCATCATACAGCGAGCGCAAGCGCAAGCCACGATGCGTGGTGCAGACATTCTCGTCGCACTGCAAATGCTGCTGCTGCTTCTTCTTGCAGCTACTGAAGGTTCGATGTTGCTGATTGACACCGTGTGTGTGTATGTGTGTGTGTATGTTTGTGTGTATGTGTGTGTGTATGTGTGTGTATGTATGTGTATGTGTGTATGTGTGTGTGCGTGTGTGTCTGTGTGTGCATTGTGTGTGCATTGTGTGTGTGCATGCATTGTGCTTGCTAGAGTGTCTTGTTGTTCGACCTGACAGGGCCCTCATTCTCTGTTCTCTTATCCTCCACATGTCCTTGTACCAGTGGCCAGTCAGTCCATCCTGTTGCAGATCGACAACACTGAGGTTGTCCAGCCAGACTTTGTGTCAACAGAAGCGACCATCCAGGTACGGCCCAGTCTGTCACGATCATTGCGATGTACCGCCTCTGCTCCTAACTTTGTGTTGAGTGTCAACACACACACACGAACACACACACACGAACACACACACACACGAACACACACACACACGAACACACACACACGAACACACACACACACACACACACACACAC